GAGAGTGAATGGATGAAGGGACATGCACACACACACACACACACACACACACACACTTCTGCTTACAATCACCACTTAGAATGTAGTGTAAGTTGTTCTGTGTGATTGTGTCCGGTTTTACATACATCTTTGATCTTCCAATCTAAACTTCTAGTCCTCTCTTTCCCCCTTCCATTCTTCACTTTCCCCCAACACTTTTATTGCTTTTCAATTGTTTTTCAATTCTGTTTATTTATTTGTCTATTATTTATTAAATTTATTTGCTGCCTATCTTGCTGTGCAGCTACCCTAGGCAGCTTATAACAGTAAAAAAGATGAAAAGAGTGTAAACAGAAGTAAAATAATAGAAGTATAGAATAAACAATGAAAAAGAACACAGTGAGAATACATCAATATTGTAACCAAAAGGATGGACAGGTGGAAAGTAGAGAGCAAGGGTTACTGAGTTACTTAGTCTTTGTCCCTTAATTATCTAATTTTCTCCTAAATCATTCATAAATCAGTATGTTTTTTTAAAAAACCATGTAAACAATTACAAATAATACATGTCTATAATTTGGGGGATTTTGTTTTCACTTTTAAAGACAAAAGTCTTAGTTAAGGAATTATAAGGGTGATGAAAAATGCTAATGCAGGGGGCTCCTCCTGCACCTCAGACTCATAATTTTCTCCCAGGAAAAAGCTGAAAGAGGCTTTCTGATCCTGGGACAGAGTGAGTGGGTGAGCCTACTGCTGGAACTCAACATCTGAGTAGAAAACAGACTTAGTGTTTATTGGGACCTATATCACATCTTTGTCTCTAATTTGCCTAGCTGAAACAGTGACACTTTTGAATGTAGATTTCCTGTCTCTGAATGCTGAATGCAACTGATTTTAAGCCAATGACTGTTGCTTGGCTTTACAAGTATCACACTTATACTTTCCCACTCACACCATGCTTGCCCATATCTACTGAAATTGATATTTCTGTCCTTCTGTTCTTTCCCATTTAAGCTCTTTCCTTTCTAATGATAAAACCTGTGAGGCTACAAAATAGATTGTCCACAGTTCGTTCTAAGCAAGTAAGTAGAGTTTTAGGAGCAGACAGGCCTTTGCCACCATTACCACTGACAAAGGTTAAGGCCCAGAATGGCTCTGAATAGCACTGACTGAGGGAAGCACTGAATCAGTACAATGTGGGATGTTGGCTACCAGGTATAACCTCACACTACCACTTTGTAGATGGTTTCCTGGGCCTTGATTGGCCAGCTTCTGTAGCCCGCTCTCCTCTACTTTTCAATGAGATTATGTGATGTTCTTTGTGAATGATTTTAGACTGCTAGTATTTATTCCAGTCAAGAGTTGCACTTAGCTTTAGGATTCAGAGGACCACATTCCAAAAAGTACATAAGACTCTACTCTCCCACATGTCAAGATCCTTATCTTTTGGAGGGCATGTAGTAGACCTCACTCAGTTATGTGCCTTGAAATAATGAATTCAGTAAAAAAAAAAAAAAAACCTCCAATGCAAGGTAATGCTATAGCAGATTTCTACTTGTAGGAAAATTTTGCTGAGTGGCATGAAAATATGTATTTCCAGTAATGATGCTGGCCAAGAGCAACTTCACTTCCTTATAAATGAGTTATTTAGGCTAGGTTTCAGTGGTTTCACTAAGGCATTTAGGGTCATGTAGACAAATTACAAGTTCTCATACAAGCAGTGTTGATATGTGCTCTGATGTTCATGTAGATAAAAACCTGCCATCTTATAGAGTAGTAAGCCAATGTCGAGATTTCCTCAGTGGCATCTGCAACAAGTATCAATAAAGAAAAACAATAGCAAGTGTACAATGACATCATGAAGTCAATACTGGAATTAGTACTTGCATCTCTTTTTATAGGTATATTTTATTAAAACTTTTTAAAAAGGCAATACAAACTAATACAAACTAATATAAAGAGGAAGAGAAGAAAGAAATCAAAGAAAAGCAAAAAGTGCAAGAAAAGAAAAACTTTAAGAAAAATAGAAAGGAAAAGTATACAAAGCAGTGGCTTCTGACATTCTTCATAGCAGTTCTAAGTACAATTAAATTTTAACCTCTCTAAAGTTACATCTCCAGTACTCTTCTAGTATCAGCAGCTCAATGACTAGCCCATAATAGTGGAATTTCTACTGTGACACTATTGACATTGGTTTCATCCTTCCTCTGGATACCCATGGATTTGTTTTTACTAGAAGTAGGTACTGACAACAATAATTGAATTTGTTCAGCAGTCCACTTTAGTTCAGGGTTGTCTGCTTTGTTTGTCATCTAGTTGTAAAGATTATTAACTTCCTTTGTGTGGCATGGAAAAAAAAATCTACTAAAGTGGATGAAGTGTACAAGCATAGCAAAGTCTGAAGAGATGGACCATTGGTAGTAAACATATGGGTACAGATTTGTTGGAGGAAATGATTTGTTTTAAGTGTATGAAACTAAGACCAATAGTATTATATCTCAATTGCAAAATCCATGCTGTACTAAATTGCACAAGGAATTATCTTTTGTGATCATACAGATTTCTGTTGCTTGGGTACATTATTTATAGAATGAGATATAATTTACATAGTAGCTATTATTTTAGCAGGCATGGTGGCCCAGCAGTTGACATTGGTCTTGTCAACCGGAAGGTTGACAGTTTGAGGCCCAAATAAACATGACAGAGTGAGCACCTGTCTTACCACAGCTCCTGCCAACCTAACAATTTGAAATCATGCATTCTAATAGTTGTGTTAGAAGCTCCAAGGTGCTTCTGGTTTAAAGGATTAGTCAATGCCATCACCATTGCCCATGGATGCCCAGTTGGGGGTCTTTTTATGTTCCTGGCAGAATCTGGAGCAAAGGATGGAAGCTCACCCTGCCCAACGGCAACACTTGAGTTTTGAACATGGGCTTGCTAACCTCCAACCCAGCATCTTAACCACATGAGTCACCTTGCTCCTGAAACCATGCAAATGCATAGAGATAAGAAGGTAACAAAGCATCCTTGGAAAATGCTGTCTCCATTGGCTAGGAAATGAGCACCAACCCTAGATTAGGACATGACTGGACCTTTACTTTTTTTAAAAAAAAATATTATTTGGAGAAAAATGCTTGTCCAGTTGAAACAAATGGGATTTTTTATTTAAAAAGAGTCTACAAATTGGGAGTAATATTAATTGACCTCCTTCTCTTCATTGTTTAATAACTATTGAATGAAAAATTTAAAACTGCCACATTACGTACTGATAGATTTCATTGTTTTTTTTGTTACTACTGGTAACATTTGCTAATAAAATGCAGTATCTGAATATGTATAATAATTTGAGTGTACCCTAAATATTAATACTAAAACCTGGGGATGGTCCATAAATTTTCCTATGATCATTTGTTTATGATTTCTTCTATGATATCCTACATTTATTTAGAATGAACCAATGCTTTGCAATGAGCATTCTGCATCATAGTGCAAGTCCATTTGATACAGATGAAGGGCTTCTCCAAAGTTCTGCAACTAGAAAGCAACAGAGTACAAAATGCAAATTAGAAATGTTCAGAACTTGAAATACTCCGTTTCAACTTCAAAAACAGCTGTATCATCTCTTTATTAACTGTTTTGACCTCAGGACCTTGGGTCATTTCAAATTTCTAATAATTATATGAAAACATTTTTGAAAACTAGCCTCAGTAATAAAAGGAGCACCTGGTGTGGTATAGTATTGAGAAACCAAAACAATGTAAAAGTTTTTATAGATATCAGCCTTGCTTTTGTAGCATTTTGAAGATCTAAATCATTGATCAATCCCCTGTTAAAGTCATAGATTCAGTTGGAGCTTCTTTGTAGAGATTCTGCTTTACTACATACAGTTACAGTTTTACTATAAAATTGAACCATTTAATGTGAAATGTAGATGATTATGATACAGTACATATCCCTAGTTTGTTAGTAATAATAATAATAATAGTTTGTTACCAAGTCTTAGTCAATTTTGCATACAGTACAATACTTTCTTTTTAGGACCATTCCTGGTTTGCTCTTCTTTCTTTCTACTTGGGAAGCAGAAAAAAGCTGTTTGTCTACGAATATACAGCTTATATTCTTTTGTTGTTGTTTTTTTGCTAAAGATTTTTCTGTAGCAAACAAGGTACAAATGATTTTTCTAAGTATGGAAAATAGTTTTTGGAGGATGTATATGTTCCCTGAGAGTTGCATTTGTGGCTTTGTAAATCTTGCATTAGTGAAGTTTTTGAAAGTAGTGTTAGGCTTTTTATGTGGTTTTTTTTAAAAAAATATGCGTTTTCCAAATCCCCACAAAGCTGGTCAGACATTTTCCTTGCTGAGACGAAGGGAGAGATTCAGCCCAGGCCAGGGTAGCCAGGGCTGATCTATAAAGAAGTATGGTCGCCATTGTTGTTGTTGTTGGTTAGTCCAGGGCTGTTGGCTGAAAAAGAATCCGGAGGAAGACTTCAGAAATTGAACTTGATAAAAGATGTTTTTTTCTTTTTATTTTTGCAAACAAAGTTAACATTTCATAGAAATATAACCAGGTGTTTTTTCTTTACATGAAGGTATTTGTCAACAGATTAAGATGTTGAATTTGTCAATAGTACGTAAAGTTTTTTGCAACAATTCACAACTGGATATTATGTGTAAATCAGCTGCTCTGTGATAGAAAGGAATATGTTGGAAAATAACCTGAAGAAGTATGGGGCAGATGGGGATTTGGGAGGGAGGAGCTTTGCTTGTGAAAAGCTGCTGCTTTCCAAGGATTCTTCTCCCATGGAAGATGGGCATCTGGCCAAGAAAAGAGTTTCTGACATTTTGACGAGGGCACCTGTAGCCCAGCTCTAGGAAGAATAAAGTCACTTTGTAAATCCTTTCCCATAGCCCAGAAATACAAACACAGAACAAAAGCTCAACAAACAATTGAACAAAATCCTAATAACTATGTTAGAACCCTTTTATGAGAAATTATTTAAAAAAAACAATAGACCCAAATGTCCAGATATAAAAACAAGTTTATTTGGATATGGAGAGGAGACAGGAAGATTAAGGAAGGCAACAAACACACATCTATATGAAACCAGTAAAATCAGCTAGTTACATGTTACCAGTGTGAGTTGGATCTCAGCTTTCAAAACAGTACAGAGATGTTTGTCTGAAATCAAAGCCAATAAGCATCCAGGTTAGATGTCATTAGGTAGGCTGAGAATCTCATTTTTATTTATCTGCGATCAGCAAATGCCAGTCTTTTAGTGAAGACTGGGAGGATTTTGTTGAAGAGACCTTCCATTTCTGCATCATAGTCACCATTACCTAGAGGTTGGCCATATATTTGAATGATAAAAAAAATCTAACTTGATGTGGTACAGGAGAGTTTTGAATGCATATTAGAGAAGGAAGCATAAGATCTGGATTATTCAAACTTTCTAGCATGTAATCAATTTCCCAGACACTAAAGGATGAAGGGCATAATTAGGTTTCATCAGAATGCAGGGGGTTGTTCCAGGATGATAATAGATGTAATAATTAGGATATTTCTTTATTTCATAGCTTTCTGGTAAATTAGCTTAATTCTGGTCATTTATATTGTTCATCAGGATTTTTTGTCAATTCTTTCAAGATGGGTTGAGAGAATAGGGCATGAAAAATCCTGCAGATTCCCAATTATATTTCTTAGCAGGTTAGAAGGCTCTGTGAGGGAGTTGCTCACTATTCATTTAAGGTCAAAGCTTGGACTGCTTAAGATCTTCCTCGGATTAGTTCTCAGATCAGTACTCACACATCATTACCTGCAAAAACCTCACATTCCAATGACTTGCATGCAGATTGGCTGCACTTGTAAATGCTTAGAACTTTTTTTAAAAAAAAAGAATTGCACCTGAAATAAAGTCCCCTTTAGAGTAAATACACTTGCTTTTTAGACATCTGTTTTCCAATCTCTTTAGAGACTAGCTTAGACCCTGGACCCTGAGTGATCTGCATGTTTATATTAATAGTTAATCAGTTCTCCCAAAACAGAACCATCCATTAACATGAAGAAAGTACCAGGCAACAGTGGCAAAATGCAGAAAATGATAAAAGACTCAAGCGGAAGCATGCTCTCCAAGAGCCCTAGGAAACAGACTTTCTCAGTGAACACAAAACACATGTGCAGGGGGTGGGGGGAGGGGAATTCAAGGGAGAGAGGCAGTGTATCCCTCAGAAAGAGATGAAACTAGAATTTGGACTAGAAGTCTGGAAAGGTATGCCTCACATTGGAGGAGTCTCTTTCACATGCTGCTTTTCTACCACCCTCCCTTTACCTTGCATTTATGCTCAACACAGAAAATGCCTGTGTTTGTAAGCAAAATGGTAACGATTTTGCACAATTTAAGAACATCTCAAAAGAATGGAGCATTTGGAATCCTGATCAGAAGTACTCTGCAATGTAATGGTTTTCAGTTTGTATTTGTTCCATCCAGTTCCAAACTCAGGCAAACTCTTCATTTGAAGCAAAATCAGGATAAAAAAAATATATCAAGTATTAGTTCCTCAGTACCAGGGAAGTCTCCAAGATACTATATGTGGGAATATTTAAATTTGCACACACTCATGCACATATCCCAAAATGACATAAGGATACAGGTTAACTTCTTGTGAAGATCTGAGTGGATAATGAACTAAAATAATTATTGTATCTGGCAAGTGTGAAGGAGGTAAAAGAAAGAAAGCAGCAGTTATAATTCAAGAGGAATGGAGAGCTCATATTAGGATGGGAAGTGTTCATACATCTACCAGCCAGCAAACTTAGTTTATGATCCCTAATCATGGTAGGGAATGTCTGGGTTCACTTTAACCATCCAAGTCATTCATATGAAGGCTTTTCCTAGGTAAATGTCTGCTGTCAGTTCTTACCATACATTTTTTGTATCAACTTCTGTCCTGAGAAAAGGAGGTGAACGGCCCAAAGGAATCAGAAAGGTGGCAAACTGAAGGATACTCAGGTTTGGGACATGGGTACAGAAGATATGGAGAGTGGAAAGAGATGGCTTTACCTATCAATGACACCCTGCATGTCAGTTTTGCTTCCTATCCCTTCCCCTGCTCCCCCTTAGTAATGCAGGGAATTAATTCAATAAAAAGTGTATATAAACCTTTTTGGGGGAAAATGGTATAGATAAATATAATTGTTAGGAATCTGGTATTCAAAACACAACATTAGTTAATAAGGTTTGGTCTTGTGCTACGGTGGCTCCCTTTGAAAGAAAATTTATTTTTCTTTTTGAGCATAATTTCTGTAGATGATCATAGTCTCTTAATTATATTGGAAATTAACAGAGGAACTATATAGTTAGACATTGCATAGTTTTATGATTACAATTAAAAGTATTGTAAAAGGGCAATATTGGAAGAATAGCTATTTTCTGTCAATGCCTATCAATTCATGTGATATTGAAGTCATTATATGGTTTACTTAATAATGTTACTTAATAGAAGATAAAAAATAAGTAAAACAAACAAATATATTCAGTCCAAATTTTTAAAAATAGTTTTCTATTTTTTACTTCTGGCAGCAAAATGCTTGTTCAGATATTAAAAACAGCAACTTCAGATTGCTGTAAAATGGGAATGGGTAGCCTTATGATTTGTCAACAATGGCTGGTCAAGAAAGTTTTGGTATGTGAAATGACATCCCAATGTTAGGACAAGGTTTCTGATGTGAGGTAGGGATGGATAATGTGTCACTCTTCATTCCTTCATCCCTAATTAGGGATGCCACAAATTATCTTTGTCGCATTCCTAATTATTGGCAATGTTGCCTAGGTTTGCTGGAGTTGTAGTTCTGCAAGATCTAGGCTTAAAAACAGAAAGGAAAATAGTGTAATTGTGCCACCTGAGTTCTTAGTTTCCTGTCCTCAGTGGAATCCTGAACAATAGCAATCCTATACAGTTTTCATACATGGCATCATTTTTGTTTACAAAGGCCACTTATTAGTTGAATAATTACGTTAACAAGGAATTTATTCTGGATTCCCAGAAGAAGGGAGTACATTTCAGACAGCAAAAGACTGGAGCCTTGGTAGTACAGTGGTCTAAAGCACCCTGTTATTAAGACCAGCTGCCTGCAATTACTACAGGTTCGAATCTCGCCAGGCTCAAGGTTGACTCAGCCTTCCATCCTTTCTAAGGTAGGTAAATTGAGGACCCAGTTGTGGGGGCAATAAGCTGACTTTGTATAAATATACAAAAGGATGAAGGCTATTGCTTAGCACATTGTAAGCCACCCTGAGTCTCCGGAGAAGGGCGGCATATAAATCAAATTAAAAAAAAAAAAAAAGACAGTGAAGTTTAGATATTTGAGTGGGAGAAAGAGAACCAGAACAGCTCTTTCATATGAGACCTCAGAGAATATATTTAATGGTGTAAGTAGTTTGCTTTATCTTGGAAAGATTTCATCTATGGATGAGAAACAATAAATAAAACTGCTTAGAAGAACTTCAGTGTGCCTTTCTTGGTTTTTGGAGCCCAACTAATGTTTTGAGAAGACTCTGTCCCTAATTTATCCTTCTGGTATTCAGCTATCTAATATACTGTAACAAAGATTTGAGTGTATGTTTGAAATGTGGGGTCTATGCAGGAAGACACGTCAAGAGGTGTGGCCAAATAAGGTGATAAATCAGAGAGGGAGAAAATAAAATTTAGTGTTCAGTTGTGAGCTTTATGTTCAGCATTTAAGTCTTGCAGAGTCAATGAAATGGCTCTCCCACCACCTAGAGTTTAGTAGCCTGTGCATTTCTAACGTGTTGTGTATTCCTGTTTGCCCCTCAGAGCTAAGCCATATACTCATTGATACTTGTAGTTCTTTCATGGTAGCTTTCTTACTGGGCTTATCTCTCACTGAGAGATCTTCTTTGTCACAGAAGTTGCAAGGGTTGCTCTTTCATCAGCTGCCTTAATCTTTCTTTCTTATCTTCCCCTGCACATATGGCAAGGGAGCAGAACTCCTTCTTTGGTCAGGTTTACAGCTGATCGGTAGTCAGCTGGATCTTGGCAATGCATTGCATCTGCATAGAACTGAATGATTGGGCGCTGACATTTGCATATTTTTGTGGGAGGAGAACACACACACACACACACACACACACACACACACACACAAGAGAAAAATGACAACAGGTGGTGGAAGTCCATGCTGTTGATTTTAGTACACTGAGGTAAGAAAAATGCAATAATAAAAGGACTGTCTTTTGCAAAGGACAGTTATCATTGATGAACATTTCTGTGTGTCGTGTGTTGATTGGGAGATGGAAAGAGTGGATGAAATGTTATTTCCCTCCACGCATTGATTCAGTCTTGATTGTCACCTGCACTGGGCTAAAAGATAGGGATATGAAAAATATTGGTCTGTTTCCATGTAAATTCAGGGAAAATTTACCTGAGATGTTCCTATAAGCTGGAAGAATGTGCACAACACTCACAAAAGTAATAAATTATGTTGGTCATATCTCATTTCCTGAGATGTCCTCTTCTATTTTCTTTGTTTATTCTAATCTTTTCCTGATCAAGTCACTTAAAAATTATTAATGAATGTGTCTCAATAAATCAACTTCAGATAGAACTGGTGGATTTTAATTTTATTTTGCAAAATCCTGCAAGCAAGTATCAACAAAAGAGCACTTAGGTTGGGGGTGTATGGAATAGCAAAGAGATTTTATCCACATCTCTTCAAAGGATACAATTCAGCACAGCTATTTGATCTCCTCCTGAATTTAGAAGGTTTTCTCCATGGTTAAAGCCAGTTAAAGCAACTGAGAATAATATTGCCTTTCCAGAGAATTAACGAGGACCAAGTAGTAAAACAAGAACAAAAGATCTAGGAGAAACTTCAAATGTGTTTGCATTTCTGTTTCACAAAACAGAATCAAATTAGCCATTACTGTACGTGAATGCCATTAATGCAAGTAATGTGCCCTTCATAATACAGTAGCTTCAACCAAGTAAGAGCTGGAACATCCTTGAAGCAGCTGCTACTTCTGTTTCAAGGAATTCATCCAAATGCTTCTGAAAATGGAAATAATGTAACAATTAGGATTTTTCTTGGGATTATGATAGGGAGAAGAGAATTAAGCAAATCCCAAAGCTGATCAAGAAGTCCCTTGCTCTGTATACAGGTGGTCCTCGACTTATGACCAAAATTGAGCCCGAAATTTCTGTTGCTATGTGAGACGTTTGTTAAGTCAATGTTTACCCCATTTTATGACTTTTCTTGCCACAGTTGTTAAGTGAATCACTGCTGTTGTCAAGTTAGTCACACAGTTGTAAAGTGAATCTGGCTTCCCCATTGACTTTGCTTGTAAGAAGGTTGCAAATGGTGATCACATGACCCTGGGACACTGCAATGGTCATAAATATGAGTCAGTTGCCATGTGTCTGGATTTTGATCATGTAACTGGGGGAGGGGGGAAATGCTGCAATCTTAAGTGAAAAATGGTCATAAGTCTCTTTTTTCAGTGCCGTTGTAACTTTGGTCACTGAATGAACTGTTGTAAGTCGAGGACTACCTGTACTACATCCTGTTCTAGTATTCTGGGTAGCTGTAACAGGAAGACTGAGTTAATTCCCAGTTTTATCACCTGTGAGTATCATAAGGGCTATTGCTGTTATCCACAACTGCAAACATGAATTCTGCATTCACAGATTACTCCAGGAGTGCCCTACAGCACTCATATAATATCAGTAGTGGAGTTAAGGGCCTTCTGTTATCTGTTGAAATTAACTCTTCAAAATGGCTACATAAAAGGTGCACAGGGACTGTTTCATGCCACTATGTTATGGGCTGGTATGATCTACAAAGATCCATCAAACAGTAAATGCTACATATAGTATAAATATGGTAGAAAAATGTATGTAAAAAAAAATAGCTCCTCTTTTTAGCTAAAGCTAAAGTCCGTGTATCCCCAACTAAACCCCAGGCCCTTCGTTTTTATGCCTGCCTCACAAGTTTAGATACCTGGTTTATTTCCTTCTCTACATCAGTCTGTGCTGAGTAATCCTTTCATTTGTATAGCTACCTTCAGCACTAAAAGAACTAATATTCTTTTGCTAAAGATAGAAAGGGAGATAAATCAGAAGAGACTGATTGTACAGGACATATATACAGTGCCTTCTAAATCTTAATCAGTTGTTTATTGGTTGGCAAACAAATTTCACTGTTACAACAAATATTAGTAATGAGGTCATTCAACTGGGTGACCATACAAAATGCATCATAAATTAAAAAAAAGAGTAAAATCTGTGCTGCTAATTTACCTTCTGGGAAGGTCTACATTACTTTAAATCTTGTCAAATAAATACATTTCCTGTTAGGAAAAATAATGGAAGGGTTTGTATATATTTTTTTACCACTTCAAAATAGGCTTTTAAAAATATCTTTGCTATGAAGCAGTTTTTCAAACCATCGCAGTGAAAGTTCCTAGCCTGAGGTTAGATTTTGACTCCTGTAAAGGCATTATGTTCATCTGCATAAATCCCATTATAAAATCCCAGCTACTGGAAGGGACATAATGCCTTGGTGAAGGGACTGATGACCACAAAGGCTGCTGCATCTCATCAATTGTGCCCTGGAAACACACGTGGATCAAGTTTCTAATCTGAAAAAAAGAAACTGTTGGCAAATCCGTAGATAGAAGAAATGGAGTATATTGTGTGGATGTTTATCTGTGTCTATATGCACATTTATATATATTGCATACTGACACACAAACATACACACAAACACAGAGTGTGATATCACATAACCCAAAATTAAAGAATCATTACTTTGTTTACTCAGTGATTTTTTTTAAATGAGAGAGAGAGGAAAAAAGGCCAAATAAAGAATACATGAAAAGAATTGTTTCTACTGGTAGACAAACTTGCAAGACCAGCACAACAGAAAAAGTTTTTTTCCACCACATTAACAGGGACGCAAGTTTTGGCGGAACAAAGAGTAGACTATATGTGCAATGCTAGTATCTGTACATTACATAGGAACTGTTCCATTTTTTCTGCCATTAGAATTATCATCAGTTAATACAGAAAAACATAAAAATATACCATGTAGCATACAATTACCAACTTTTTTTCTATTTCATTAGATGTTGTTTGCTCCACAGTTCAGTGAGCTTTGGCTAAATTAAGTGGTGAGAGAGAGAGAAAGAGAGACACACATACACAAAAAAAGCCCAAACCAAAAACCCCAAACTATTATGTGATACAGATTCAGAATAAACAGTTTTGCTATTTTTGCTTCTGTTTTGTGCAGCACTCCAATCTAGACGCATCATTGCTAGTAGTTTCAAATGCATGTTTGGCCTTTTGTAAGTCAGGTCCTTGGTACTAAGAAGACAGCACCCAAAGATGCTTAAACAAATACAGTATAATGTGAGAAGGCCACACAATGGACCACTTCCTTCTGTATCTCATTTATTAGCATATGGTCTCTCTGATGTGACGCCAGTGTATGTGTTGGGTGAGGGGGAACAACAGGCAGTTAGCCTTTTTTCCTTTGTGGGCCTATCGATTCCATTAAAAAGTTATGAGAACTGTTGGTTGTTTAGAACAATATGGAGTAGGAGAACACACAATATTACCACTGCTTTGATTTAAATCCAGACAATAATCCAGATGTTGTACAGGGAGCATTTGTTTTATTAAAATGTTTACTTAGTGTTCTATAGACTAGTGACCAAGTGAGCTGGTCCTTTCAAGGTTTCTTCTGTTAGGGTCCCATCCTTGTTTGGTGGAACTATAAATCCATCACTACTGCCCCGCCCCAACTGATAGTAAGTGTGTAGCTGTTGGATATGGTTCCTGGAGCCCAGGTTTGGCATACTCTTGTAGTACACATCATCGCCATCGCCACCTTTAGTTGATGGGGGATCGGTCTGAGTGCTGGTGGTGACACTTTCTGTGCCTGGCATGCTGGCCAGAGCAGGCATACTAGTGTAAAGAGAATCCCTATTCGGTGACTGGAGATCTTCTGTGTGCTCATTGGTTAGCAAGGGAAAAAAACTTTCACTGTTGTCTTGTGGAATCCGTCTTTTGCTATAATGGTGAGGCTGGTGGTTCTCTGCAGAATATGCCCTTGGGGGTAACAGTGGGGCATCTGATTCCTCATGAATGAGTTCTAAGCCCAGGTTCTCCTCCTGGTTAAACAAGGTGACGTCATCGAGAACAATGGCATCGTCACTCCCACTGCCAAGATTATTGACAAATTTGTTCATCAGATTCCTACTTTGTTCATTAGAACATTCATGTTTGTTCAGGTAGGAAGGTATATAATTGGAAGTGAGTTCTTTCAGAATCTTTTTCTCTAAGGCAGTCTCACTGTGGTTATAGCTATGGTCAATTATTTGCACACAGTTGCTCAAGTACTCACTGCTAGCAATGCTGTAGCTATTGCCGTGGTTACCATTCAGTGGTAGAGTATCCATGACACTTGTATCCCTGGCATTGTTCAGAAGCCCCTCTGAAAAATATCACACAAGAAAATTTGATTTGTACCAAAAAGTATTTGTATATACTCTTGATTTGCATGGCTACTGTCCTAAGAAACAATAATATACTGTTGGTTGCAATATACAGTAATTGTAAAATGTAAAAACGGGAATAAAGAGAAAAATTATATTGGGTTTCAAGACATGGAAAATGTGGATTTAAATCTTATCCATTAATTATTGTTTCAATTTGTAAATTGTTTTTCTTCCATAGTACACCGTAGATGGCTAAAAAGTCAACATGTAAAGTACAAACAGTTGAAATCCAATTTAAAAAACTCTAAATTATTATTATCTGAACTCAAAAGACTTGGTTGAAGAGAAAGAGCTTGATTCTTTTCTTGTAGACTAAAAGAGTGGGAGTTAAAAACAATTTAAAAAACTGGGATTGACATAAATAAAGATATTTTGTTTTGTGCTCAACAAATGGGGCATTAAAAACAGTAGCCTTCCTTGCGAATCTCAATGCCTGCTCACTTTCATACTGAGAAAGACACTCGCTCTAACGTTTTTAGAGATAAAACCAATTTAACTGTGCTGAGAAAACAACTGGCAACTACAGGTCTTTCAAGATAGGCCTAAATTAATTCTAGGGCTCTGTATGCTTTGAAATGAACAGATCTGTAAGCCTAGCAGCTATATAATTTTTCAGGCTAGTAGTGAAGCTTCAAAAAAGATAAAGTTGCTTTAAAGATGGGAGCCTATATGCCTGTGTGTTCCATAGTATCTGTTTTACATTTTAAAGCATACATGATGTTATTGCATACTAGTTAACATCTTAATTGCTGCAGTTGAAGTATCTGGATAATCTTTAAAGTTAGTTCCATATAGGTTACACTGAAGTAGTCTAATTGTGATAGAACCAATGCTTGCGTAAACTAATCTAACTGGTTCAAAATGGCCACAACTGATATAAGAGACAAATTCTAGAAATGCATTACCGGTACTTTGCCACCATTGCCATCTAGAGATCCAGAAATAGCTGGGATTCAAGAAGCATTCCTGGGCTCTGGGGCTATTTTTTTCAGACTGAACTCTAATCCCCAAACTTAATTTTTTTTACTGATTAGCAGCAATTGCTTGTTATACATATTTAATTGCAGTTTATTCATTTTATATATTGAAAATAAAACCTTAGATACAGTATGGGAATTATAGTCCTACATCTAGAAGGCCGTAAGTTTCCTCACCTTATTCTAAATGACCTAAGCTTTGGCAGTTCAGATGTATCTAATTATGATTGTTAGGCACATCAAATATAATCAAAGAAGGAGTAAGGCAGTGATAGGCAAACTTCAGCTCATTCCCCTCCCCCCACCCCCGAATTTTGAGAAACTGAATCTGAGCCTGTTGTAAAGGATAAACAATGAGTAGAGAAATTTGGTCAGAATACCAGTGGTGAAGAGGGCTCAGAAATCTTCCATACTAAAATCCTGTCCTGGTTAGCATAAATGTTTTCATACCAGCTTTATTATTTGAGTAGGGATAGGAAGAGATTAATAATTTTGTTACTGCTACTGTTAAAATATTAAATGTTTGACACTTCAGCAATCTAACCCAGAGATCTATCAGAAGATCCAGATCTACTTTCTTTCCATTCACAAATTAAGGCATATAAAGTTTCTAAATATTATGAACTATCACATGTTTATTGCATTCCTTAAATGTGAGACAGGTAGAATGCCAAGAAACCTGTCACTTGATTCTCCACTGTTTTTGTTTTAGAGCAGAGCAGGGATGTGCCAAAGGATGACAAAAAGAATGAGATATGGGAAGTAACACTGGGAGGACTGACTTTAATTCTTCCTCTCATGTTAGTTTTCTGAATGAAATCATATTGCCCCTGCTAACTAATTTATATTCTGGAATTAATAGTTTCTTATGTCTTCCCTTTAAACACAGATATGTACAATAATTATGAACACGGAAAATGTTTTCCCACTATCCCTCTCACCATACTCCATTTGCTATTGCTACAGACTTGACATATTGTAATACAACAAAACCTACCTATAGAGCTTTATCACCGAGATTATGTAGCTAAAAAATAATAAAATAAGCATCTGTGATCATATCAACAGACTGAAATACTTGGTTGGTGTAATCATGATGAAAATTCAAATCAACTCCAGCTAATCTGTTCTTTTAATTTACAACTACACTCCAAATTAACTCAAATTGATTACTGTATTTTTTGGACTATAAGATGCACTTCCCCCCCCACAAAAGTGGGTGGAAATGTCTGTGTGTCTTATAGAGCGAATATTGCGGCGGGGGAGGCGGGTTGGTGTGCCGATCAGCTGTTCTAGGCAGCGGGGATCGGCACTGCCGCCTATTGCTGCCACCCCAGCCTGCTCGCCATGGCTCATTTGCCGCCGAATAGTGAACAGGCAGATTATTTTTTCTTGTTTCCCTCCTCTAAAGCTAATGTGCGTCTTATAGTCCAGAGCATTTTATAGTCTGAAAAATATGATAATCTTCAATTAATTGTCCACTTCAACTATGCTTCTAAATAATAGCCTTTCAATCAATTATTTCATTTGTATTTACCAATCAGGAATAAAAAAGAAATAGAGTGGACCAGGTTTTGGGTGGCTGATTCTACCTGATAAGGTAGCTAAGGCAATGTTAGTTTATCTAAAAGCATTGAGGAAGGCACCCAGGATCCCATAGAATCCTTCCCAAAAGCAGTAGTCTAAAAGAGCTTACCATCTTTAGACTGTTTGAGATGCAAGGAAAATCCTCTGCTCTTCCTGTTGTTTGCGGTCCTTATTCTCCCACCCAGGCAAATTTCGCGGTAACTAGTCCTAGGCAAGGATCTCTATATCCTTGGGAAGGGTCTCCAGATGAGTTTGATGAGAAGTGCCTATGAGGATACACTTCCCATGACAATAATTATAGTGAGACCATCATGGCAGGGAGTAGGCCACTTTACATTTTAGTAGTAATCTCTACTGGGCCAGCTATTCACATCAGCTCTTTGGTTGCTTTATGTCATTGAGGTTTAATATTAGGCCTGTCTTCCAAAATACACTGGGTGTAAAAGAAAATCCTCTTGGATGCATGCAATTCCCTAGTGTCCACCCTGTTTAGGAAAGAAAGGCTTCGCAATAAATATGTAGAGTATTAAATGGTTCTAACCATAAAGAAGGCTGAGTGCCAAAGAATTGATGCTTTTGAATTGTGGTGTTGGAGAAGACTCTTGAAAGTCCCTTGGACTGCAAGGAGATCAAATCAAATCAGGATGAAACCCATGAATGGAATATACAGTTAGAGGGATTTAAATTGTTTAAAAGAAACAGACCTATATCTCTACAGAAATACAGCAGAAAATGATGAAAACCATCTTGAATACATTTCAATATAAAAGGGAAAAAAATGACATTGCCATACATTGCAAATGTATACTATAGGCCACCCAATCAAACAGAGGCAATAGATGAACTTTTTGCTATCAGTTAACTAAGGTATGCAGGAAGCATACCACAATAACAATGGGGGACTTTAACTACCCTGACATCAATTGGGAGACAAACTCTGCACCTAATGGAAGATTAAATAGATGCATGACAAACCTAGCAGAGAAGTCTTCCAAAAGGCAGAGAAGGGAACTAGAGGGTCAGCCATACTGGACTTAATCCTCACTAACAGAGATGAAATGATAGAAAGTGTTGAAGTTACATGAACTTTGGCAGGGAGTGACCATGCAATATTGGAATTCAACACTATGCAATCCCAAGCAATAGAACAAAGTCAAACTAGAGTCTTGGACTTCAAAACAGCTGATTTCAATAAACTTAAGGAGAGTTTCAAAAGGATTCCATGGATGAGAATCCTCAAGGGAAAAACAATCCAAGAATCTTGGAAAACTTTGAAAAGTGAGATTAAAAAAGCCCAGTCTAGCACAATTCCAATTTAGAAGAAAAATAAGAAATCTCAAAAGAAACCAGTATGGCTGCACAAAGAATTCTCTGATAAACTGAAAAACAAAAAGGACAAGTATAAAAAGTGAAAAGACGGGCAAATAACTTAAAGTAGAATATCAGCAAATAGCCAGAACCTGTGAAAATGAAGTCAGGAAAGCTAAGGTGCAAAATGAACAACAACAAAAATCAAAAATAACAAATATAAGCTTTCAATATGTAAAACCCAAGAAAAAAGTCAAGGATATTATTGATCCATTAATGCAGGGGTCCCCAACCCCCAGGCTGTGGTCCACCACCAGGCCTTGAGTCATTCAGAACTGGGCCATGGAAGTGGGGCGGGTTTCAAAACCCGTTGCTACCGGTTCGCTCGTGGACGCACGCACACTCGTGCTTGTGTGCAATGCTTCTGCAAATGCATCCGTGGCGATCCGGTAGCAACCTACCACTGATGTGTATGCACCCCCACTTGTGCCATCAGTGGGCAGGCCTGTGCATGCATGCTCCGTTTGTGTGAGTGGCAGGTGCGTGTACCCACCACTCGCACACATAGAGTTGTGTGCACGTATGCTTGCCTGCAACTCACACAGAACCATCCCCTCTCCTCCCCACAATGGCCAGCAAAGTTGGAAAGGTTGGGGAACTCTGCATTAATGGGAGAAAATGACAAGAAGGTGGTGAGCAGCAGGGAGAAAGCAGAACTGCTTAACTGCAGTCCAACCTATCCCTCCCAAAAAATGCTGTAAAATGCAGATTAGGCATGCAAGTCAAAATAAGGAAGAAGAAACGGATGGAAACTAATCAAGAAGAGAAGCAACCTAGAACTAAGGAGAAATTTCCTGACAGAACAATTAATCAGTGGAATGATTTGCCTCCAGAAGTTGTGGATGCTCCAACACTGGAGGTTTTTAGGAAGAGGCTGGACAACTATTTGTCTGCAATCGTATAGGGTTCCCTGCTTGAGCAGGTGATTGGACTAGAAGACCACCAAGGTCCTTTCCAACTATGTTATTCTGTAGTCAATGCTAAAGAAAATCAACTCTGATTGTTTTTTTGGAAGGACAGATACTGAAACTGAAGCTCAAACACTTTGGCCACCAAATGAGAAGAGAGGACTCATTGGAAAAGTCCCTGATGTTGGGAAAAATTGAGGAATAAAGAGAAGGGGACGGAAGAGGAAAATATAGTTAGATAGCACCATTGACATGAATTTGGGCAAACTCCAGAAGACAATGAAGAAAAAGGGGGGGAGCTAGTGTGCTATGACCCATGGGTTGCAAAGAGTCAGACATGACTTAGTGAACAACAAATGGTCCTAAACTCAGTTGTAACAGCCTGTGGCTGATCTGACTCAGAAACTACACAAGTCTAGCCCAGCTGGGTGGGAGGTTAAGAGGAAATACTAGAGCTACATAGAGAAATAAACACCCAGAAGAAGACAATGGCAAGCCATTCACTGCCAAGAAGGCTGAATGGAGGATTCCATGTAGCAGTTTAGTGTCAAGCTCAAAATAACTGCACCTAGCTGATTTTGGGGGGGGGGGGGGGAGACGGGCTGAGAAGCTTAGGTAGTCTTACAGGTAATCCTCAGGTTACAAAGGCAATAGGACTGCAATTGAAAAGCAGTTGAAAAGTGCAATATCAGTAGATTGCTTAATGATGGCAATTCCAGCAGTCCCAGTTTCCCCTAGACTGCATGGGTTAGTAACTGAGGAGCTCATGTGATGACATGGGAAGAGATGGGAGTCCCAGGCAAGGAGGCCACTAGGCAAGACCTATGGGTGGGTGAGTGTTGTGTGCAGATACTATGGAGCATGTGCAGGTATTTAGGTAGGGTGGGCAGCTTGGCAAAAAAGTGGTGGGAAGAATTTGCCAACTGACCACTTTGGGTGAACCTGGTTTAGATCAATGTATATTTTCAGTTTAAAAAACCCTCATTGGGAAAACTATTTTTTTCCATCTTTAATGTTCACTGAGAAAGCTACACTGTAGATTGCTGGCTGGGGACTTCTGGGAGTTGTAGTCCAAACATAATAATGTTGCATAGGTTGAGAAACACTGACCAAGACTACATTGTAGTCTTGCTTCTGCCTGGCTTCTGCCAGGTGTCAGACAGTTATAACACATCTCCAGATTTATTACAGTAAATGTTTTCTCTTCTTTGCGCTAATTTTTACTAATGACTGAGATTTGACGCTTTCATATTTTTAACTGGAGCATAAGCACTGTTGCTTTGTCCTAGCATGTCCAGCTGCATCTTCACACTTTCCTGGTGGATGCAAAGTAACTGAGTTCCTAGCTGATGGCATCTTTAGATAGTAACATACTGCAAACAGGGTTTTGTCATACAACACAAAAAACATGCTTTTCTTCTTTTTAACATTAGGGCAAGCACTATGACATTCAAAAACTAGCTCCTTTTCTTAGCTGATCTCAAGTATTGTGATACAATTCCTATTTGGTTCCGTCAGTCATGTGAATCAACACACTTCTCAAATAGTTGGAAGTATCAAAAAAAAGCACCTCACTGCAGCTTTTGGGCGATAACCCTTATTTAGAATAACTAACAGTCTTCAAGCACTCATGATCCATCTGGGTATCTCTAATATCTTAAATGCATGCAAAAGATGAGACATGCAAAGGGTTCACATTTTTCTATTAATTCAGATGCTATTGCCAGAAAGAGCAGACAAGGCTAAACCAGCACTGTTTTGTTGAAGTAAATTGCTGGCCATTTGTTGGCCCTTCACTTTCAGAAGACAAAGTTTCTGAAAACAATGAATTCAATCTGCATCTGTGAAGTCCTGTGGACTAGGGAGTGTCATTACATGCAGACCTTCAATTTTTCTGATCTTAAGTACATTTTTTCGCAAGTTCTCCCCCCATGTTTTCAGGCTTAATTTTAACATACTGAAATTTGGGTGTTATACGTAGTATCTGTATTTCATATAGATAGAAAAAAGTACAAGTGAAAAATAGCCATTACAGATGCAGAACAAAATCATTCATTTTTTGTAGTTTAAATTGATATTAACAATCCACATAATCTTTGGAGATTGCAAAGATTAGTGGATCACTCCAGACTGGTTATGCCTGCCCATTAAGGCATTGCTCCTTGCTTTTTCAGCAAAAGCATACAATTATTAGTTGGAAGTTATCATTTTTATATATTTGAGGAAAATAAAAGATTGCCTTGCATTGAAAATGAAATACAGTTCTCATGAAATGTGCCACAGCAAGAAAACAGTATGACTTTGCAGACAAAAATATTCTTAATTAAAAAGAAATGTCATTCTCATACACAGTGACACAAAACTAAACATACTGGATGAAAAACAAAATGAAGCAGACACAACATATCTATTATCTGTATATAGTTATAAAATATGGCTTATTATTCTTGATTCTGTATTGTGAGAGATGAATTGTTTTAAATATGTACATCACTGATATATGATGCATTAAAAAGTGAACTAAAAAAATTACATTTGATATGCAATGTTTAGCTTTACTCCCATACTTGTCTCTCTGTAGGGCTCTAAACGACAGCATGAAGAAAAGGAAAGAAAAAACAACAAGTAAGCTTACAGTGACAATAGAAGAAATATGAATCAAAAGCAAATTGATGATATGCAGAAAAAAGTATTAACAGAAACTATTTCAACTCCCTGAAGCAAATGAAATTATTTACATGGGTTGTTTCCGTTTGAGTATAAGTCACACATTTATAATAATAAATGAAGTTATTTTCACCTCATCATCAGCTTTTTAAAAGAAAAATTCAGAATTAGAAATTGAAATTGAAAGTATTATGGTATATATCCATATATAAAAATATTTAATGTTTATTATACTGCTAAATACTTTTTTTATAATTATATCATCTAATGCATAAATATTGAAATCCAATTCTGTATTAACATGGGTGTTTCTCTTTGTGGAAGTCATGTTAGCTTTTTTCAACCATAACATTCAGTGTACTCTTAAACAAACACTGTTGTTTTGAGAAACATTTCAGAAACAACGTTAAACATTTCTAGATTCTAGTGCAGAGCCTGATACAATTGGTAAAATACTGTTTGGATCCAAGAACACTTCTTAGTCTAATAGGAAAACTTCAGTGAAAATTGGTCTTAATAAATGGGAACGCTTGGAATAAATGGATTAGCCTTCAACAATGTTGAAAATCCAATTTCATTTTGCTATAGGTTATTTTCCCTGGATTTCCACAGTTAGATCTCAACCAGTTTACCCAATTTATGCATAGGGCCTTCCTAATCTAAGAACACTAATGCAGAAGCTAACAAGAAACATAGTAACGATCTCTCATTTACTTATAAAGCATATACAAAACTTTATAGAGATTGAAAAAATTGCAGTTTTCTTTGAAGGCGTTTTGTCTAGTTTGATGAAAGATAGAAATATTAATTGTAGCTATATTAAAGTGTATTGCACATGTATGCACTACACCAGGTGGTGTAGTCTTGTTGGATTATTTGAAGTAGTTTCTCATATGGAATAGCATTGACAATTTTTTGTTTTAATACCAAAATAACAGGATCTGATGACCTAAATTAGTATAAACTGGCTGTTTTTCATAACTGCTGTTTTTCTGCTCTGAAAAGCCATATTTTAAAGAGCAAGTATACTTCTTCTTGCTCTTTAAGGTTTTTTGAAAAAAAACAAACATTGCAGATGCTTTAAAGGGAAGGTTGGAGTTAAAATACAGATTAAATGAAATTCACACTGGGGCAACTGCCCCCCTTCACCTCCTTTGTCATCAGAATAGCCCTTCTGAAAGATGCTTTCATCTACTCTGTGCTGTTCTGCCCTTATTCTTACACAATTCCTGTCCATTCCACACTGTTCAACCAACATGGTAGCAGGAAAAAGTTAATGAGAAGTAGAATACAGGTGGTCATCACTTAACAATGCTAATTAGGAACAGAAGCTCCATTGCTTCTGTTCTTAATTAGCATTTAACATGGTAGTAAATAGAAAAAACATATAATGTGCTACTTGGCAAGGGCAGTTATGGCTCTCCTGGTTATTGTTGTTAAGTGAGGACTATGTGGGTTATTAAGCAAGGACCTCACTTGACTGTGACTTGTGACTTCTTGCCAACTTCCCTGTTGATTTACTTGTTTGAAGCTGAAACGGAAGGTCACCAATAATGATCATATGGCCATGGGGACACTGATGGCCATAAGGAATGATCATACAATGTTCAGCGCTGTCATATGTTTGAATGGTCACTAAGTGATTGTTGTTAAACAAGAGTCACTTGTAGATGTAAAAACTCTCTTGTCTGGCTTTCCAACTCTTTCCAACCTACTTAGATCTAGTAATATATTCACAGGCATCTTACTAACTACCAAATAATCACTGAATACATAGTGACACTTCTTTTCTTCAGTCTTGACTCCTAGTGACTGCCTCGACAAACCCTTTTGGTTTTCTTGGAAAAATTATGGAAGTTTTTGCCTTTGACTGCATCCAAGGGCTGAGAGAGAGGGCCTGGCCCAACTGGCTTCATGCCTAAAATGGGATTTGAATTCACAGTCTCCTTGTTTCTTGCAGAGTACTTTTAACTACTACACCAAACCAGTTTTCATTGACATACATAAGACTCATTAGAGATGTACTGTAGAACTAGAACTCTGTGTAACATTTTAACATCCTACTTTTAATTTCCAATGTTATAGATGAATAGAAGGTGCCTGAGGGAAGAACAGCATTTGTAAACGTTTTTTAAAAAATAGATGTAGTGTTGCCTGATCAGTCATATTTACAAAGAAGGAGTAAGAGAGCTCTCATAAAACTTGAAAGAATGCACAGCCATTTTTTTTTCAAGAAAAAAAGGAGAGCAGTAAGTTGTCTTCCTTCCTTTCACTTTCTTTCATGCCAGAGTATGGGAAAGTCATCTTATCACTGTCGTTTGTTGAATGTACATATAAGCAGTAAAATAAGCTTGCTTACTCTTCCTTCTCACTAAATAAGGATCACTTGAACCTGTACAGCCAGATGATAATTGTTTACTAAAAAGAAAATATGCAAGCTTTTTGAGAAGAAGAAGGTGAAGGAGAAAGAGCCTGGATAGCTCTGCAGACTAAAAGCACTGTAGTTTAACACCAGCTGCCTGCAATTAAAGTAAGTTCAAATCTCACCAGGCTCAAGGTTGACTCAGCCTTCCATCCTTTCTAAGGTAGGTAAATTGAGGACCCAGTTTGTGGGGGCAATAAGCTGACTTTGTATAAAATATACAAAAGTATGAAGGCTATTGCTTAACGCCCTGAGTCTCCGGAGAAGGGCGGCATATAAATCAAATTAAAAAAAAAAAAGAAGGAGAAGGAGAGAGAAAATGAATTATAAAAAAGGTGACTTCTTCTTTCCTCACCCTTTGTATTCCACACAAAATTAGAATGAGGATGATTTTCAGCATCGTTCTAGTTTTTTCTGTTACTCGATAACAAGTGGTGAATTAGCTATGGTTCATCAAGCAGTTCGCATTTATCTCCTATGATTATGAAAAGAGGTTTTTTTTCAATCAAATCATGTTAATTACCTAAGCAGTGAAAAGATTATTAAGTTATTATTCAACAATCTGGGAATGCCACTATTAATAAAATATCATAATTATCTTTAATAAATGGTTTTATTTCTTTTTGATGTGGTTATCTATGATTTTCATTCTCAGTAATGTGTATATTACAGTGGACATTGACTTTGGTTGAGGCATGGATAAAGAGAGTGAGGGAAGAGACTTCTGTTTCTCTAGGGAGGAATCTACCAGTTAGGATACACTCTGTCTCGATCCTTGGGCTTCCATGAAGTTCTCATTATGATCTCTTTCTCCTGAGCTGCAGAGTGCTGGAAAGTGTTTCAGTCAAACAGCAGTGATAAAGAGACAGACAAAATGACTCTTTTGACATTTATGTAAAATGTCATGATTGGGAAGGAAAGTGGTCTGTCCAAAACTGCTACTGATCCTTGCAAGTTCGGTTAGTCACAGCTCTTGGGTTGTAAAAAGACTAGTGGTAAAGAAAGAGAAGCCTTATAATTTTAGTATTTGCTTCTTGATGAGGCTCTGCCTCCCATTCAGAGCAGCTATGTGAGTTAGTTGAACAAAGAACTGATTTTATTCGAGGGGGAAAAAGTGATTTCATCTCTCGTACTACTACCTCAAACTCCAACTATCAGCTTCATTATAATCAGAAAGTCGTGTGTGTGTGTGTGTGTGTTGCTTCTCACAAATATTTTTCCCCTTTGTACAGAACTCTGTTAATCAATCTATCTGAACTTGCTATGGAATTTATGCAGTATGAAGGGCATTTTTATTTTAAGGTTCTTCAAATTTTGTACCCAAATGATGGTCTTAGGTTTTTCAAATGTATAACTTAATACCTCCTCATACCAATAAATGTGTGTGTTACTAATGATTATTCAGGTGTTCAAACAATTTTTAATTGATTTACGTGACTATGCAAACTGTATGTAGACTACTTATTGAAATATCAAGGTTACTTAGCTAAGGATACAAAACCTGAAAAGCTGAGTACATATTTTCTTTTCTATAGGTTTTTAAAAATTATTATATTACCTTACTATTATAGTTAATAGAGAGCTGAAAGCAGTCAGACACTGAAACCGAAGTGAAAAATACTTTTACTGATGAATGGTAAAAGAGAAGGCAATCTGAGTTTGGCTACTGCAATCTTCAGAGCAGACATGTTGGAGGAAAATGAAAGACCACCATATCCCTTTTGAACTGATGACAAAAATGTCAATGGAATATCTGGATTAAGTTCTAACTTGTATGGCTAGAAAAAGTAATACAAGAGGAGAAAAAAAGTGAAAGATAACTAGAAAGAAAGGAAATCACTTAAACTTAGAAAGCTCCTAGCTATCTCTCTGTCTTTCTATCTATTGCATAAGTTATGTTATAAAGGAGAGAAGATTGTGGAATGAGGGGTGTTTGAGCAGACACAATGTTTATTGAGTCTGCTTTCTGAAGGGGAAGAAACTTATCCTTAAAGTAATGTTTCTCACCCTTGGGAACTTTAAAATGAGTGGACCATGTTTATTTAGGGTGAGAAATACTACCCAAAAGTGTTAGGAGGGAGGAAACTCTAGAAAAGCAAGCACGTCTGGGGCAGTTGCAGACTTAGTAACTCAGTTTGAGGCAGAGGGATCTGATACCTGTGAGTCTATATTGGGTAACCCAAATATATGTTGTTGTTGTTATTGTTACTGCTTCTGTTGCTTCTGCTTCTATAGTTTTCCTTTTCTTTTTGACATTTTCCATTCAGTTTCCTCAGTAAAATTAAATTATTACTAGGCCATTTTAATGAACAAAGATCACATTATTGATAGTAATATTTTTGTATAGTTTATGCCAATTGAGTAATTGATTTCATTAAAATCTGGACTGTCTTTGATATTGATCATGTTCTTTCCTGCAGCTAGATATTATACATTAGACTAATGCAATGACAGATGCAAGGTTTGAAAGTTAAAGTTCTTTGAAATAGGTTATCT